CCCGCATTTCCAAGGCTCGAGCAACATACGCAAGACTGAAACACCTTTGGAGTAGACGCGACGTTTCACTGAAGTTGAAAGGTCGTGTATATTGTGCTAGCGTTCATTCAGTCCTCCTTTATGGTTGTGAGACCCTGAATTTGCGAGTAGAAGATATCCGTCGACTAGAGGTTTTCGATTATCGGTGTTTACGCAGTTCAGCCCATGTTGGATGGAGCGAACGGATTATTAACGTGGAGGTAAGCCGTCGTGTGTTTGGGAATCTGTCAGGCATAAACCTGCTGGCATACCGAATTCAGATTACTAGGCTTCGGTGGCTAGGGCACATATTGCGTATGCCTAGCCATCGTCTGCCGCACCGCGCTTTATTCGCTNGCTGTAGCTAATCCGGGCTGGAGGAAACCACGCGGAGGTCAACAAATGACGTAGAGACGAGGCGTGAAGAAATGCACAGAGTCATTAGGTAGAGTAGGTGTCTCTCGCCTTCCAGGTTGAAGTCCGAAAGACTCCGCAACTGGTTGGTTGGAGACATAGAAGGATATGGCAGCGACCCGCAGCAGTGGCGTTCTTGTTGTCGCATTTATCGGGTCAGAATGCTGGAAACGGTATGTATGCAGAGTTCGATTGTGTACTCTGTGTGTTGACCATAGTGGCTCATCTTCTCCCTTCCTCAAAATAGATCCAACCCCTGTCCACCTTAAATTTTACCACTAACCTTGTATGCATTGTGAGTTTGGCAGCGTTCATTGAAGTTCGCTTCACTGTATTTCACTGTACGATAATAATGATAATGAATGACAACTAACCATGCGCAGTACACGTGCTGATCAACGAAGCCTACTGGTATGAATTAGATTTGGTAACGAATTCTCAACCAAACCGTTTTTAACTAATCGTCGACTTACCTTGGTGTTGCTTAGCAGCTTGTACTATCCAACCAGCGCTGAACTAAGTAAATATCGACAGTCGAAGACTTCTAGACGATCAATCCGCTTTACTTACTTACTTTACTAGGGCTGGCTCCTTGGAAAGCATAAGCCGGCTCGATGAATGTCTCTGATTGCCGCCGTAGAAGACATGATCATGAAGTTACTTGGGAGTTCGGTACGAGAGACGTCCTCAGCGTCACTCACTTATTTTTTGGGTGCACCTCTAGCCTTAGCACAACCAAGTGCGAATCGCAAGGCAGCAGGAAGTAATCCCTCGCCTTGGAATTGAAGGCGTCAATGACTAGTTTTAAAAGGTCGGTCACATCGACTCTTGCCACGACACCGTCATTGGGTTTATGAGGCTTCTAAACAGGAGCCAGATGACCAACCCGAAACCCACCAAACCCTGGTAGTGCCGCCACTGTTTGTTCGCGACTGCTTATTTTTTGCGATATGTCACAACTTATTCACAGCTAACCTTCGGTGAAGGTATTCCCCTATCCACAACCGGGGGACGCGTCTGGTAGCATTCAGCTCTGATTAACCCGAGGGTATCCAGGAATGCCGTTTACGTGCAGGCTTAGGGTCTTGCAACCGTAAAGCAAAACTGATCGCTCAGCAGCTCAATATACTCGACCCTTCAGTTCCAAGGAAACACCATATCGGTGCTTCGGTCTTATTTACACTGTCTGTGCTTTGGAAATGGCGAAAGAAGGCACCCTTGGCAAACACTGCGTCATGCAGGCAAAAAATCCTGAAAATCGGTCCATTTCTATGAGCAGTCGAAGTCAACCAATAAGGAAACACCGACGATTCCAGAGAATTCGTGGTATGTTCTCCAATGTATGAACCGTCACGTGAGCCCTAATCTGATCAATCTTATCGGTTGCTTCTACTCTGGAATGTTCCGATATTGGTTATCACCTGTGTTTTCTGGAATTCCCGAGGCCAAGTCATGTACATATAATAGGCCTGTTTTCCCTTGAGGCGGTTGCACGCCCTTGAATACAATGTTTGCTTTGATCTTGGGAAATCAGCGGTTGAATAGCTGGAACAGTATGTTTAGAAGTGTGATTTCGCCCGAATGATTTGCTTGAACCCACCATAGACCTTCACGCTACCACAAGTATACAAATACAGTAGGTGTAAAGAATTCTGTGGCATTCCTTTGCGAAGCAGCGAATCTCTTAGTGCTTCGCAGTCAACTGAATTGAAGGCTCATTTGTGATCAAGCAAAAATATTTGTTGGTCGATGATGTGTGTATTGTGTTATTATAGATGACTTGTGCAGGCGACTGTGCCCACATTTCAGTCAAAAATGTGTTCACCGTTACAGTGGGATAGGGAATGAAATGAAAATAATATACAACAATGATAAAACTTAAATAGGTGTCTAAAATTAGTTCATTATGAATCCTCACCGTGCCAGTGAGAATACGAGCCAAATAGGGAACCGTTGAGTTGCGGTAAATGTTTATCCGGGAGGGAAAGCAGCAAAAATTGGATCGGGTTGAAGCGTGAGAACGGCAAGCAGATAAATTGGGATTGAGTAAATGACTGGGGTCATTTAGTGTTTTTTGAGCGAAGTTCTCACATATGCAAATCACACAATTTTGTGATCAAAGTGTTTAAAGGAATAAGAGAAATACGGCTGATAATCACCAAACCGCGACGTAGAGTAATAAAGTCCTTTTTTAGTATCCCAGGGAAAATAACGGGCGAACAATAAAATATGATAGGAAAAATGCATTGAACAAAGGAACACAGTTTCTTGCCCGACGCGAAATTGTCGTAGCTTACGTGTTTGAAAAGATAAGCGGTACAGTCTACCAACACAAGCAAACACATGAAAAGACCACTGTGGATTGCTGTCTATGGTAATTCCTAGGTATTTCGTGGTGTGTCCTGGTAATGGATAAGGATTCGATGACTGAAGCATCCAGGGAAAGACTAAAAATGCATTCAGAACATTTAGAAGTATTCAGTCGGAGACCGGATTGGTTTGTTGTACTTGCAACAAATTGTGGGAAAATGATTCTCTGTCCGATTGGTTTGAGATGGCTTGACATACGACCACATCATCGGCATACATGAAGGTCTTGGCTGGTGGGATTGGGGGTAAATCACTGATGAAAGCCGAAAATAGGTAGGGGGAGAGCACAGCACCCTGAAGGACTCCAGAATTATTCACTAACGGTTTTGAAGTGGTGCCGTTTGCTTTCGTCCTTTGAGTCCTTCCTGTGAAATAATCTTTTAGCCATGACAACAAGTTGGTGGCGCAATCCAATGACTCTAACTTCTGCAGGAGAAGAGATCGCGGAACGGAATCAAAAGCCAAGGAATAGTCAAGGAAAACACAACCAACCGACTTTTGAGACCTATCTAAGGATTTGCAAATAAAGTGCATCATTAAAGAGACGGAATCCAAAGTGCATCTATTTGGTTTGTACGCAAACTGGAGGGGGTCATTGGGAACAATAATGCAAGCGCGTGAGAATAGCGCGCTCTGCAAGTTTAAGTCCAGAGGAGGTGATGGCGATAGGACGAAAGCGTATAGATAAAATGCTAGATGAAGAGTATTTAAAAATGGGAACAATAATGAACGGTCTCCAGGAATCCGGAATCGAACATATGTAAATTAATTGGTTAATAAGGGACGTAAACATTTCTGTGACTGAGCCAGCGCCACATTTGAGCAATGCCGAAGATAAACCATCGGATCCAACTGCGTTCGTGGTTTTCATATTTTTAACAAGATGATAAACTTCCTCATGGGTGACCGGGTCTATGGTAGATAGGTGATCTGTGGGGTACAGAGACAGGAGATCATTCGAAGGATAAATGAATGCAGCATTGAGGCTGTCCACGTCCATAATTTAGTTCGTCCGTTTCTTTTGTCTTCAGAGCAATTTGATCCCTTGCCATAGCTGTTTTCCATCTTCAGCTCCCAGAACTTGCTTTGCGAATGAAGCATTCACTCTTTTGATCTCTGCCCTGATTTGCAGTGTAAGTTGTTTGTCAGTGGCTGTTTGAAGTATCTTGAACGCTAGTTCTTTTTGTCTTCTAAGAGCTTTTAACCGCGGAGAGCACATTCTGCCAGTGTGAACAAAAACTGTCTCCATAGGACATCATAGATTGAAAATCACGTTAGCTGTTCCTGTAAAATGTTCAACAGAACAGGGAGACTGTTGAACGGAAAACCATGAGGAGATAATAGCAAGAGATTTTCTGAAGAGAAGGAGTCTGTCAGCTGAAAGGTTTCGAATTTTGATGCTCATTTGTTTTGTTTGAATAAAAGCGGGCTATGCTAAGCGAGAGTAAACTTTTGATCTAAGACATGATAGACAGTGATCACTAGACGAAATTGGCGCCTTCAGTTTGAGAGAGAAGATATTAGGGTGATTAGTAATGAGCTTGTCAAAAGTAGCATTTCCTCTGGTGGACGTTAAAGAGAGAAGTCTGACAGATCGAAAGAAAGTAAAGGTTGGATTGATCCGTGATTAAAATCGCCGACAATTAAAATTAAATTATCACCCACTAAGGGAGGAATGAAAAGAATAAATGCATCATAGAAAGAACTAATTTCAGTTTGTGAGCAAGAAGGGGCAATGTATAGATTTGTAATAATTGTGCTCCAATAAGGGGAAAACCTAGGTTGCATGAGACAGTAAGGCAGTCAATACCATAAGAGAAGATAAACAACATTTCGGACTTGCCGCACCAACTGGAGTTAATGTAGGTTATTACACCACCTCCGGACTTCTTTTTGCTTCTTTCTCTATCTTGTCGAAAACTTGCAAAACCAGGTATGTTAACCAGCGAATCGCCTATATTTTCGTTGAGCCACGATTCCTGTATGCATATCACCCGTGTTTGTGTGCACGCGGTGAGTTAGTAGATCCGTGAGTTCAGTCAGTTTGCTAAACAGTGAGCAAATGTTGGAGGTGATTAATGACGGAACCGTCATCTTCATGGGAGGAATGTTTGCAAGTGCAGTCTGCCACCCGACACGTTTTCGTTTCCTTGCTCCGAGCAGAAAATTCAGTTCGGGCAAAACGATGTGAGTTGGATAACATAGAAGAAGAATAAATATTCTTTAGCCGTAGTAATAATTACCTGAGATAAGAACGTCGAGAGAACATGGCAGAAACCAAGTAATAAATTCCAATGCTACAGTGAACACAAACGTAGCGCAGCCAATCGAAGGGTGTAGTTCGAGGACTTGACGCAGAGTGAAGATTTTGTCGCCGCAGCCGCGACCTAGTCGGAATCCCGCTAATGATTGAATGGAGTTTGATGGACAGATGCTGTTAGGGTGCCTAGCCACTAAGCACGAAAGTGATTATTATTCTTAACCAAAGCCTATATTTCTGCCAAGAACCTTTTCGCAAGGCAGCGGGCGAAGCAAAGCGGAGCCCTATTCACTTGGATCAATTATTTTTTTACCGACTGAGGCGAACCGCCAATCTGTAGAACCACGAGACTAGACTTTGTTCGACCTCTCCCCTTCAACCTTCCAGGCATGATAAGAGCTTCTGGTTGAATGAAAATCATCCTGTATAGTTCGTTGGGTCACAGAGGTTGACAAGCCATCACAGCACGTCAAGGTACATTGTTATGAGGGCAGGCGATTGTGAACCGTCACTATGGGGCGGCTTACACGATCTCCGAACGACGCATATCAAACTTTCGAAATGCGCATCGCTGATAATTTTTTAATTCCCACTCTTTTGTTCACCTTAAAATATTCGAGCTTCGCGCATGTGTTGTTCCGCCGATTACTCACTGATAACACGACTGATTTTGATCAAAAATCAACCAAAATTCGACGAGATTTAGTAGATGTGAAATACCAAACTCTGAACTTTCTAGAGAACTGCTCCCGGTTCCAGGCACGATTGCAGTTTGTCAGAAGTAAATGTAAGAAAAACTCGCTAGCGCAGGTGATGCATTTCGACGATACCGCACCGATAGGTATCTGTATTGAAACTGGACACGTTTTACATGCGTACTCTGGTGCATATAGGACAACATTCGTGTTTAGCTCGTTCGACCGAGACCCTATCTATCGATGTGTTTTATTTACGCCTCTCTAGGGACCTTCGAGCCCCGGCTTTCGGTCCTGCTGGCGCTCGTATGGCTCTCATTGCGAAATCTGAAACAGTCCTGGTTAACAATAGGTTGTGTGCAGTGACACAGATGATGTTTTTGGTCAAGTATATGTTGCTCACACTTTGGTCGTCACACATACGCATCGTTTCGGGTCATTAGGGATGGGTGGGAAGGTGGTTGTGTCGTGTATGGTGTTGGCCATGGAAGACCGAGTGGTATTATGAATTGTTTTTGGGGGCATAGGGAGGCGAGTCTACGGTTTCAATTTCAGTTTGAACAACCATTAACCACGCATATTCGAGCGGCGGTTTTGGTTGCTGTCTTTTAGCTGCCCATTTGGATGAAGAATAGCAGAAGAAAGGAAAGTTAAAAATGGAGTCTAACAGAAAATGGAGAAGTTCAATGGTCTAAGGTTGCAAAGAAATTGAGGAGATGCACGAACGCCACTGGTTGCGACACCCAGCCATATCACCCAGTGTCTCTAACCAACGAGTACGATCATCCCGAGGTCCCCAGCCAGGGAGCCTAACAGGACCTATGTGGCCCATTTTCCTGGTTAGGGTTTTCATAC